GTGGTCAGGATAGATTGATCATTCACGTGAATGCAAACGTGTCTGGGGCATACTCGAACAGCAGTTCTTAAGCGAGTTTCTTTCGACCTGCCTGCGAACCGAAATCGCCAATGGTGTCGCACTTGCACTGTCTTTAACCACACCACGCACCCATGCCACCAGGTACGGTAGCTGGGGATGTGTGAAAACCTGCGACTGAGCCAAATGCTTGGTTTTCCACAGTCTCTTCTTTTACAGCACCAAGGGAGCATTCAGCAAACGCAGCCGCGAAACTCTAGGCCGTTTGAATAGTTGTTCTACTGCCTTCAGCAGTATTGCAGCAAGGCTTTGGGTAAACTTCGTTTCCCAATTTGGCACCTCAAGTCAACGGGTTGGTGAAACGAAGACCAGGAGCTCCTGGAGCTTCGGCTCAAGTCGGACGAGCGCCGTGCGGAGATGGGAGTCACGGAGGCGTCTTCGTTGCACCGCCTTTTGTCCACGCAGAGGGTCTGAGCGAATGTTGCGAGTTTGCGTGCAAACAAGCACTTAGGTCGATTACTAAGCTTCTAAGAGCATGAGGCTGCATGGGATTACCTGAACTGAGTAACGTGACACATAGAGTTGGCCGTGGTTTGAATCTACGTATCTGAGAAAACCATGGCCATGTCACAAGGGAAAGAAGTAAACAACCAGAACCATCATGAAAGTCTATTTTCCACGCTGATGGGGTGTTTGTGACTGTCACTTTGGCCTGGGATTTTCACCAAAAGCTTGCAGGACTCTTCTCGCCAAATTGCTTTCCAGCTTGCATGTGAAGTCGTTTGTGACCAACGAACGGCTCAAGGCTGAGGCTCCCCGCCCAATACCCAGTGACCGGTCGTGCGAAGGCTATAGAGAAGGCGAGGATCGAGGAGGAAGGCGCGGCGAATCAGTGCCTCGTATTGCTCTTGTGTGATATCAACAGATCTGGTTGCTGCCCTGAGTAGTAGGATGCTCAAGCTTATGACAGCCATGATCACGCTTGTGAGGACCCTGAGCGCTGCTGTGTTGTGTTTGTCACGCAATCTTGACAATGACGGAGTGACAAGGCCTCGTGCCGATGATCTAGCGATTCTTACTTTGCTGGCAGGTAAGATCAAGGCCGCGCGCGAGAATGAGGATGTGCCCCAGCGGCAAGTCGTTGATGTGTTTTGCATACATTATATACACATAGATAGATACACCAATGCAGCGTGTGTATTTGTATACTTGTATATACTATATACATAGCTGCTAGAACTATGCATAGGTGTACTTACACTTAGCGCATTTGCAGTATATGCGATCATACAGGAACATGTATGTGTATATGCATACCTATATACACATCAATTGTTGATATTTGCACGCGTACATACAAACACGTGGATCGCGGGGAACGGCTTGAACCATGTTGCTTGAGAGTTGATTTCGAAAGCAAGCCTTCTGGTTTTGCACAGCACTCTGGCAATACAGTGGTGACTCTCTGAACTCTTTGAGCAATACAGCTTTGAGTGTTCGAAGCACCGGTAGTTTTGCAGAGTTTAGCCAAGCTATACTGTCAGCAAACATGCCAACAACAGCTGCAAACTCAAGATTCGCATACTTGGCAGCTTGTCCTGCGCAAGCGCAGGGCACAATTTTGAATTCAGGTTGTTTGCGGAAGAACCTCGTGGTAGTTTTATTATCAGAGTTGTCGGGATTCCCTCCATTTGGTATGTGTATAGGAGAGCCCGCAGTTCGTGCAATGGATTTTTGGCATGTCTCTCAGGTTCTGAGCGCTTCGGGGAAACTGGTCACACCCACAATTCCAGGAGAACAGTTTTGTATCTTTGTTTTGTATATACTGGCGATGAAGCACTTGTGCTGGAACCACTATATGCTACCGCATACACATCTGAGCCAAGTTGCGACCTGCCCTCAGGCGGTTAGACTTTAGCCATGCCTCGGCGCCTCCGGAGCTTCGCATGAGGTCAACACCCGCATGATGAAGGCGGAGCAGGCGGAAAGGCGCGCTCAAATGCTCGCGGCCATTCAGGCGGGCAGAGAAAGCTGCGACGCAAACCGGGAGCCATTGCGATCCCCCAAAGCACATGTTCCTGTGTGAGATGTTTGCCGGGATTGTGAGGCTTCCTGCAAGGGCGTCAGCTCAGGGGCTCCATCCATTTCCTTAAGGGTTGTCACAAAGGGCTGCCATGTGCAAACAGCCACAGCCTTCAGGCCACGGCCAACGTGGCATCCGAGTGGGTGCAAGCGGCAAGAGGCCCAGCTCAACCGGCCCAGGTGTAGGAAATAAGCACTCCTTGGGTTTTCGTTTCAGAAAAGCAAGAGCGGAGCACCTGGCTCAATATCGTTGCGGAGTTGTGCAAAGCTAGTCTTGCAGCACATGGAGGCTGATTTGTTTCTTGTGGCAGGTGTCCAAGGCTGCTGCCTTTGCAGTTTGAAAGGTGGGATTGCATTATTGTTTTTTTAATTAGGCTGGTGCTGTAGGGCGGCAAAGCTTGCCAGTTGTAGGCAATGCTGAGGATGTTGCAGGTGATGCTGTTCTTGGACCACTGTTTATGCACACCTGCGTTGAATCGTGGGTGGGGATGTCGCAGGTGACGCTCGAAGCTAGTTGCAGGCGATGAGTGCTCCAACAAAGAATCTTCCTACAAACAGCTTCCGAAAAATCCGCAAAGCAGCCCCATGATGTGGGTGTTTCCCAAACAAGTTTTCCCTTCAAAAAGTGGCAGCAGTTTCCCTCAGGGTTCGCCTTTCACCATCCAATACTTGGTAAAGTATCTGAGGACAGCCCAGAAAAGGACAGCAAGAAGAGTCATGGCCTGTTTGTTTGATAGTACGTTTGGCGGGTTTTGTGAGTTTGGTCGCCTAGGTCAAGATCTGCGTAGATTCCACCCACGTTTGGCCTAGCAACAACCCCACGGCCAAAGAGTCGAAGTTTGTGAACTGTCAGCTGACAATCGGTTTCCCGGAGGGCGCCCCCCCTCCCCCATGTGGGTTTGAATTTTGCGCATGATATGACAAAGAGTAAAGGCCCTTTGGTCGATTGCAAACAGACGCCGCAAAGGTACACACCGTTGATCAGGGCTCCTTGGTTTTGATGCATTCCAGCACATGACACATGTATAGCTTCCTCGTGAGCCCTGTTCTGCCCATTCATTTTGCTAGCAGACGGCTTGTTGTCCCTCTTTCTGGTATGTCACACACGCACACACACACAAACACATTTGGCTGTGGGTCAAAACCAATGGTACCATTTTGGGGTAGGTGCACCACCCATTTAGTCTATTTTAGTGGGGATTGAATCGGATGTTCACTGGAAATACGATTTGGATTTTGACCCATGGCCATTGCTAGAAGGTTGCCGACTTGTGCGGCTCCACCAAGGTCTTCAGCTCTCCCGCAAACTTGGCGTTGCTGATTGGCACCATCGCCTGGTTCTCAGACGGTGGGAATAGCAGGCCTCTCGTTTAGCGCTCTTGTAGCAGGGCTGCAAACACAGGGAACATGCTCCCCCCGGTTTCATTCGGTTGGTCTCCTGTATTTTCGGAGGTGATGCATTGTATGCGCAGTTGAATGGCAACCCACAAACTGGCAACTTATGCAATCCAAAAAGGAAACGATCTGGTTTCGGGTGAAGTTGCAATTCATCAGTTCTTCGAACAACTCCTGAGAAAACCATCCCAAGGTGTCAAGGCCTGTGAAGGGTCATTTTGGGTGAAAGGTGCAACGGCAATCGCGTTTTTTTTTTGCGCTTCGAATTGGGCATTCTTATTAAACCCTCGTGAAGGCCAATGGTGTGTGTTAGGCTATGACAAAGATATGTGCTGTCATGCCCGTATTGATCCTTTGTTACACAAGCAGCAAGCTTCTGTTGCTTTGCGATGCTCGCGCTTATCCGAAGGTCATAGCGTATGTTGCGCCGCTTCACATGTCCTTGCAGTGTGCAGTTGCACTTGTGGTTTGAGTCACGATACGTAGGCGCAATATACTTTATTTGGCCGGCGATTGTTATGAGTTGAGCCAGTTTTTGAGAAGCTCGAGCTCGGGCCGACGCGCCGTTCTCTTTGAAGGGGATGATGTTTTCTTCCCCGGTCGACCAACAAATCGTTCCAGATGCAGGTGGTTTGCCTGGGCGGTGTGTACCTTGCTCGGGGCCCAGCGGAGGGAGCTTCCAATCACTGATTGGCCAAATGGCCCAGTGGAATGATTCTTACATGCGGGTGGTAGTGGGGACGAGCGAGTGTCATGCTTTTTTGGGAGGTTGATGCTATGGCCCCCAGAGTTTTCCTTTCGCCAGCGAAAGGTTGCAACGAATGCTCCAAACCGAAGAGCACTGGAGTGGGCTCAAGGGTCCCATTGCCTTTCACCCGCCACAGCGCGCGCGCAGGTGAGGGAGATGGCCATCTTGCTGCGAGAGCAGCTGAACAAGCGCCTGGGGAGGTGGGAGTGTCTGGGAGAGTGGCTGTGCGAGGTACTGAGGTTGAAAAGATGCTGGGGCTTCAGCTTTCACGACTTGGCATTGAACTATTTCCATTGAGGTGGCACAAGCTGTCGTTTGGTTTGAACCTGGCACAAGGCAAACTCATGCTGAACATGGCATTATGAGTTTGTTGCATTTTAGCCTACTGGGTGAAAATCGTGATTCCTTTCCCGGGTACTGCTTTCAGCGGCTCAAGGTTCTGCGTCGCGTGCTCATACCATGACATGATCAAACTACCTACTTACTTGGGCCCCATTGGCGCCCTATGGCGGGGGCCTTCACACTTGAGCTATATCTGGCACACCCTTCGGCTCTTGCCAGGCCTTCTCTGGTGCGCATGACCAACCAGCGGGGTACCCTCCAAGAGATTTTCATTGGCCTGCTGAGACTGCCCACGCCTCAGCCACTGAAGACCTTGGCTGGATCTCGTGGAACATGTCTCATTGATTCTCTTTGGTGTTTGTTGGTCATTGCTCTCACAATGTTGCCTTTCGTGTGCTCCATTTGGGCACCGGACATGAAGCTCGCGGCTATTTCTCTTGCCTTTGTGCAGCCTGTTGCATAGGCCGGAAACGGCATGGGCCATTCTCTCCAGGGAAGCTTTCGTGTTTCCATTCGCAGGTTAAGGAACACCAATCGCAGTTGAGGATTGAGAGCTGGGCTGAGAGTCGCAAAGCAAGCGAGGAAGTCTAGGAGTGATTAGACATATCAGACCATTGATTTGGCAAGCCTTTTTGGGCGGCAAATCGGCCCGGGCGGAGTTTTTGTTCCCCCCACGCGCGTGCCCGGGGCGCGGCTGAGGCTTCGGCTCCGCCCGCCCCGCGGCTCGGAGTTCAATGATGTGGTGCTCCATCCGAAGCTCCGCCAGCAGGCGGAGAAAACGTGGCAGACGGAGACACGGGCAACATTGGCCAGAGGCGAAAGCTTGCATAGGCCAAACCTTCGTTCTTGCTCTGCCCAAGCCCAGTTGACCGAAGACTGGAGGTCAGCTTGAAGACAAGTCAACTTGAAGACAACAAGTTTACTTCTTGTCTGCCCATTACCCTTACATGTTGTCCCACCCTGCGACTCTTGAGGATTAATCAGGACAACATTGGCAAAATACATGCACGCAGTTTTTGACGCTGATCAAGTGTAGCAGTCCTCGTGCGCCGTGACTCCTGGATGATTCGAGTAAACGGGGCTTCGGCGGAAAGGAGGAAGAAGCCCTTTGATATGGATAATTGAAGCAAACATCCCTGTGAAGAAATTTGTGACATTTATTGTGGTCTTCCTCTTGAACCCACCGAATGTGATTAAAAATATAGCCAGGTCATGCGGCTTGCAGATGCCACGTCTTCTGCAAAGAGGAGACGCGGGGCCCCCGGCCCCGGAGATTTCGGAACAAAGGTTCCCCTCAGGCGTCAAAAAGGAAGCTAAAGTGTCAGAGGATCATGCACTTTTGCAGATGACACCCTGTTGCATTCAACATTCGGTGCATATGCTTGGCAACTATCCATTGACCTGGGGTCTCTCACTCTCTCACTCTCTCTCTCTCTCTCTCTCTCTCTCTCTCTTCCTCTCCCTCTCTTATTGTCAGCTGACATTACAGTGTTGCCCAAAACGCATCCAAAAGCCCGAAGACAGTCTGTGGGATTATCCTTGGCTGCTGAAGGACCTTTCGGGTCGGGTTGAGTTGACGTTTGGCCTGGCGAATTCGTTTTGGCTGCCAAGCCCGAGGGATGCCTCTGCAGCACGCCATGTTCTACGGGCCGCCCGGCACGGGGAAGACCATGGTGGCGCAGCGCTTCGCAGAGTACTCCGGTCGGGGTGCTTGGACTAGGTGCGTCTTGGACTGGGTCAGGAGCTTTGTTTTCGCGGTTTTGAACTTTAAGTTTTAGGGAGGCTCACTTGGGCCAGGGCAACGTGAATTGTGGCTTGCTCGCCGACTCTTCGCGGAGTGCTGCACTTGGCAGCTGGCAGCACCCCTTCGCTTGCTCGAGCCCCGAACCTGTGACTACCGCTTGCCAGGCCCCCCCCCCCCTTGAACAAGCAAGAGAGGCTTCCGGAGGGGCCGCAAACATCTAAACGCCAGGCCTGGAGTACGCCATCATGTCCGGGGGCGACGTGGCGCCTTTGGAGGAGCAGGCGGTCACAGAGCTGCATAAGCTCTTCAGGCGAGCGGTCAGCGCGGCTGGCACGGGGGGGCTTGTGCAGTGAGGGGCGCATTCTTGTGTTGTGTATGTTGTTTGTCAAACGCTCGCGATGGGATGGGTTCCTGATTGGGAGATTGTCAAACTGTCCACGTGCCGCACCAGTGTCAGTGTTTGATACTCAAGCCTGCTTTTCTCCACGAAAATCCAGCCCGTTCAAGTGGGATTCCTGACTTTGGATTCCCATCAAGTGTAGGGTTCTGCAGCACTGCGGTGAGGACTTGTAAAGGAAGAGCCCCCCATCCAGGAAATCATCTAAGCAGAGAAGCTCACCAGGGCCGAGTGCAGGTATTCCTGAATTCTCAGAGTGCTGGAGGAAATTCAACATGAAGCCCTGCCTTTTATGTGACTGGTTTCTTTGCTCAGAGTATTGAAGCAGAAGGACATGTTTGTCAATCTAGCAAGATTGATCGTTGCTTGATAGGCACGATTTGAAGAACAGTTTGTTCATCCCAAACACGTATCCCGTATCTAGGTTGAACCAGCCAAAACCAAGAATGCCGTGCATTGCAACCTGCCGGGGAGTATGTCGGCCAAATGGTCCGCTTCACGAGGATTTTCTTGGCCTTACACCAGGCATTAAATGCATCAGCGATGCCGTGTGCAGCAAGCAATGTTCATCAAGTTGCCAAGCAAGGCAGTGTCCAGCCACTTTGTTTTTCCCAGCCAACAAGCAGGAATCCTTGATGATGGCACCATCCCGCGCCTGAAACTAGATGTTGCGGGTGCGGCTCGTAATGTGCGGCACATCGCCCATGACAAGGATTCTATTGTACAGACCCTGCGCTGCTTCGCTTTGCAGATTACTGCAGGTAGTGATGCTGTTGGTGGGTAGGTCTCGTTTGGAGATGCTGGGCCCCTTCAAAAGAAATGTTATTTTGCGGTTGTCACATCTAGGGAAATCAACTTTGAGGGACAAGGGCAGGTATACTCTTGCAGCCTGACGAAGCACTTCATGTTCATGCCCATTTTGCAGGCCTTGGCGATTCTGTGACTCAGGTGGGTTCACCGAAGCAAAAGAGGAGTGCTCCTCTTCATCGACGAGGCTGGCCCTTCGGGCCCCCAGCCCCACCCATCGGACCCTTTGTTTAGTCGATGTTTGGAGGAAACCAACATGAAATTGTTGCATCTTGGACCAATTCAGCACATATTGTGACACACACACACATATAATCACATATATATATATACACATATATATATATATATACACAGAGAGCAAGGTGCGCGCACCCGCACGTCCGCGAGCACGCACCCGCGCACCCGCACAGCCGCACCCGTCCGCCCGCGCATTCGCGCAGACACGCACCGCGCGCACACACAAACAGTACACACACACACACACGCGCGCACACTCAAATAAGACTCAAGCAACACACACACACACATAGATAAATAACACACACAATCATGTTGAGTCATGAATCTAAAAAAGCCATGCCGAAGCCTTCACCTCTTTCCGGGAGTCACAGGAAAGTGGTTCGTATTTGATGCCGCTTTCCGGATTGGAACTCGTTGTTAACTTCTCATGTCTCACTTAGCTTGGGCATATTATGTTTTGGATCGGCAGGCTCTAAGTGTACACCAGATTCTTTGTCGCATATGAGCATCGCACACATGGCACCTCTACAAGCTCAAGCTTGGGCCAGCCTTCTTTTCCGACTTTGAACGTGTCCATCTGTAAGTGTGGTCTCACCAAAGCATATTTGAGAAATACCCGCTGCAACTAAATGCCAAAGGATCCTTGCATTTCAGGTTGCAAAAGCCTTGCGATGAACGTGATCAACTCGATCTTGATTGGGAGAAGGGCTTTGTCAGGAATCAACTCCGCATTGCCGCTCAGGCAGATGCCTTCTTAGCGTCGAGAAAGAACTCAGGCGAGGAATTCGCAGAGCCAAAGGCCGTGATCGTTTGTGCCTTGCTAGTCCTCCCTGAAGCTTGGATTGCGGCAGTTCGGGCGCAGTGTCATGTTTTCTCGTGGGCTCTTGTTTTGGCTCCTCATTATCAATTTGCAGGTGATGTGTTGGGCATGACCAACTCAAGCGGCGGTGTGTTGAAAATGTTCAAGGCCCTTCCTAATGGATGGCTGGCTGGTTGGCTGGGGCTGGAGCTACTTGAGGGCTCACTTGGTTGCTTACTTAGTTGTTTTCAAATCCCGCACACAGGGTGACAGCTGTCCATACTGTCATCCCTTGCAATATGACTTCGGTGTGAGCCTTGAGGAGGACAAGCGCGGGGGAGGGTGGTGCCAGGCATGAGCGAGACCATGCGCAATGCCCTCACTACGCGCCTCGCACAGAAAAGGTTTTCAACTGTGGCCACGCAGAGATAAGGATGATAGCAAGGAACTCTTCTCATGGCCACGTATTTTTCGGAAGCATCCATTGTTTGCAGAGACGTTCTGCAAGGACTTGCCCCAGTCAGCTGCCACTTGAGCTGAAATCTGAGGATGCTCTACCACACGGGCAGGGAGCTTGGTGCGTCCAAGTGCTCATTGCAAGCTGGAAGGGTCCCTGGTTTCCAGTTTCGAGGCACAAAATTGGCTCTCAGGTTGTGAGTCTGGCGAATGGGATTTTGGCACCTGAAATGGTAGGCTGAGCTTGCCAGCCCGTGGCCAAGGCACGCCATCTTCCCAATTCATGCTGGCCGGAGCCTTGGTGCTTTTTCCACAAAAGCTATTCCAAGATCAGGTTGGGCTTCAGTGACTTCTTGTGTCGCCCACTCCCGAGCTTGTGTTTGTACTCCAATGATTAACGCCGCCAGGGGGTACTCTTGAGTGAGCCATCAAGCAACACGGAGTTTGGTCTCCAGTGGAGTATCAGAGTGGAGAAACTTGCCAGAAATATTGGAGGCCCATCATTCATTGCACCCCCGAGGTCCCCGCCTCTATCCAGGGACAGCAGTTGGGAATGGATTCAGTCAGCCCAGGTAACCCAAATCAGGCCAAGGAAAGCGTTGGTGACTGCCCGCTGGTGAAGTTTGCCAACTAAGCTCTCAGGCCGTGCTTCACCAAGATATCATATTGTGGGAAATTGGTAGCTCCGAGAGTTTCTACGGGCAGACAATTTGTAATTTTGCGAGGTCCTTTTGAATGAGCCCATTTGTAACCTTGATGCCAGTGCTGCTTGGACTTCAAGAACGGTGCTGCCAGCCACAGCTTTGAATTCCTGGTCGATGATGTAGATGCTTGCTTTTTGCATTCCTCGACTCCTGACCAGTCTCGAATTCACGGAACACCGCCCTCTTTTGCCAGAGGTGTGAAAGTGGGGGGATACCAGATACCACAGGTCCTATCAACTGGAGCAATCCCGCAACTTTAGTGCGCTCGTCGGCAGTTGGTCCCTAAGTTGTACTTCCCGAGTCCTGCTTTGCACCAATGCAGGCGAAGGCTTGCTTGAGTGGTTGAATAGTTTCCGGGGGCCAAAGCAAGGGAGGACACATGACCCCTGCGCCTCAGGTGATCGCCACGAACCGGCCGCATGACTTGGATAGCGTGGGTGACTCAGATATCTCGCGTCAAGTTGGCTTGTTAGCTTGGTGCCCGAATTGATAGTGATTACAAGCACTCGAATTTCTGAGAGCGGGCAAGCTGGACAACCAATCGATTTGTTACGGGAATCCTCCGTCACCAGCGTGTTTTCTCGGTCGGGGCGGACGGCAGGCCATTCTTGATCGCCTGGACGAGAGCGTGGAGTTTGGCCTGCCGGATCTAGAAGCGCGGAAGGCCGGACTTTCGGAGCGGGGAGCTAGGCGTGAATTCCACATGCGGGGAACTGTCGAGGAGAGGACGTGTGGGGGGGTTCAGCCCCTGATCATGCGGGTGCATTTACTTGGACTTTCTCGTTTGTGGGTATGTTTGCACAAACATAAATGTTTGCAGGTGTATGTAAATACCCACCGACCGAACCACCCAGCCACCGAGCCACCGAGCCACCGAGCCACCGAGCCACAGAGCTATATGTGGCACGTTGGCCTAGTGGGGAGATATCTCAATGGTTTTTCTTTGAGCCGAGTCTACGAGGGGTTCTAAGGGTCACAGCAAGCTGGCTACATTCAGTGCATCCAGTCGAACAAGCAAATGTCTACGCACTTCTGATCTCTTGAGGTGTGCAACTGTTGCACCAGGGCCTCTTGAGCGAGAGCTGAAGGTAGCCAGCACCTAGGGCCCTAGGGGGGGGCGCTCAATCAAAGGGCCTGACTTCCTCGGATCGAACCGGTTGAAAGGTCGACACCGGATCACGCGGTGGCTGACGGACAGCCTTCGGAAGACTCAAGCATTGTTTGTTCACGCCACGCTCCTTGCACTCCTGTAAATTTACATGGGGATCCAACACCACCGATCTTTTTTTTGGGGGATCGTTTTTGGAGGTGCATGTGCATTTTCAAGAGACGGGAAACAGCAACGAGGGCATGGTGCAGCTGTACTACGACAAGTACATCGCGAAGCCGCTGAGACTCCCTGCAGTGAGGCTGGTGGAAACACCGGACTGCCTTGGGTTTGACTGAAGCAGCTTTGGGGTTTGTTGTCGTTTTTGGATCTTCTGGAAAAAATACTACTTGCCCGCTAGCCAGGTTGAAATTATCCTTTCCTTCCATTCCTTGAAGCCAGGCCTTTGTCAACAGCCTTCGTGCTCACTTCCATCGCTGGTGTTTCTTTGCTGGGACAAAACAAACAAGATACGCGTTGCCAGATTTGGCGCGGTATCCAGGCTCGAGGTCTGGAGCCACGCTTCGACCCTCGGAACGTAGGTTCACAGTTCGGCTTAGCCTGGCGGTGCTACCGACCATCGAGATGCGGGAAGCAACGTGTTTGGATTTAGCAAGGGGTCAAGCCGACCCAGGGATGGTCCATTGGCAGGAGGTAGCTCAACGCCTGGCTGCCTTTGCTGAAGTCATTGCCCGCAATTCGTCAGGGTTTGGACAACGGGCGTCCATCGTTGGGCAGGTTCAACAACAAGTGCAGGAACAGTTCTCACATTTCCTTCCGTTCCTCCTTCCTTCCTGCCTTCCTTCCTTCCTTCCTTCCTTCCTTCCTTCCTTCCTTCCTTCCTTCCTTCCTTCCTTCCTTCCTTCCTTCCTTCCTTCCTTCCCTTTGTTCCTTCCTTCCTGGTATCAATGTTCCTCCTCACATGTGCGTGGAATCCATTGATGGGATACTCGAGCCACTATCTCATCTCGAACGGTCAAAACACGATGGCACGTAGTGGCAGCTCGGAGAACTTGCTTCAGGCATATGGACAGCATTGCTTCTCCTGTCACGAGCACCGCGTTTGTAGTTGTTGTGTCGTGGGGACTTGTACTTTGAGTCCTCTGACTGTGCGCATTATTTCCACTTCAGGCGTCCAAAGAAGTGGACAGGTTCCCTCGACCACATACCAGTGCTTGAACTTCAATGTGTCCCGTGCACTTGACATATTTGGCGCATGTTGACTTACATCCATCAATCTGGTCCGGCTCACCACCTGGCAAGTATTCTAAAAGTCTGTTCAAAGTTGGAGGGGATCGAGGGCAACTACGTCACTGTCAGACCGCAGCGGAGTTTTCCTTCGCTTTGAATCGGTTGGGTGTGTTGCACCTCCCAATCGGCCAGTGCGGGTGGCTCCCTGCTTCGGAAGCCGGAGCAGCCCAGCGGGCTCAGAAGACGGCTGGGGGCCTTCAGTGGGAGAATTTGGGAGGTGAGGATGATGGGTTCGCACATGACATGTGCAATTTGCAACACATATTTCAACATTTTCCAGTTGAGCGGTGTCCTGTTGACCCCCGTTGGTGTGACACTCCGATCATTGTCCACTCCGATTCCCGAAAGTAAACAACACTGTCCCAGTTGCAAGATGGGGGACTTGGTCGTTTCTTCATGCTCCGTTTGTCTGGCTTTCTTCGGCATGAGCAGATCGGAACTGCGAAACTCCTTGTGCCCTAAAGCCGGTTTGGGCCTCGGGCCCCCGAAGGCCGGGTATCAAGGCTTCCACTTCTCAGCTATACCTCGGTTAGATGCTTGCTTCGCTAAATGCGGCGATATAGAAGGGGTCCAAAAGTCTCCAACCGCGAGAGATGCTAGATTAGCCCTTCGATCATCGGGACAGAAACAAGAAGCATCTAGCTTCTTGTGAACGCCCCAATCGCGAAGGGGGTCTTATCAGTTGCCGAGCTGAAGTTGGGGCCTCCTCATACGGGAGCTATTGCCTCCCATCCAAGGCTCCCTGGCAGCCCCAAGCCATTGCAGATCCCAAGGCTGGTGCGTACATGCGGGGCATGGAAATTGGGGAGCCGTCCAAGACCTGGCCAAACAGTTCTCAAAGAATCGCCTCTTTCCAGATTTTCGGGTGCCTTGGGCAAAGCCTCGCAGGGGTTGACGGATCCTGCACCCACGCAGCATGTTTTCAGTGCAGCCCTTCGCTATGGCACGATTCGACTTGCGTGAGCGCGTGCTTGGAGAGGGAGAGACGGTGAGCTTTGCTCCCTCAAAAGAGGCATCGGCGCGTTTTCTGGAGTTGCCCACAGGACAGACTCAGGTGTGTGAATCAGGCAGATAGGTTTCTGTTGCTCAAATCAGGGCAATGTCTTGGATGTGTGCCAAGCGTTCTGAAACTACAACACGACTGCGGGGGTCCTGACTTTCAAGAATGTCTACTGCTTTAAGAATTGAAGCAGGGGTCAACATGCAGTGTCCAAAAGGTCAATGCAGTGTGCTAGTTTTGATAAGCCGCTGACAAAGACAACACATATCGGCGAAGCTCACATTGTTGGCAACCTAAAACAAAATTCCTCTTGGGCAAAACACAAGAGCAGAATTGGATGCAGGACCCGATTGTCACAACGGAGGGCTCTTTATGTCGGTGTACAGACGTGGCCGTGTCAAACTCGCCGAAATGGTTCCCGCATGTTCTTCTTGGAGGTTCCCCTTCGGACTTGTAGGGATTCTCTTGGCAGGGAAGAGGAGGTGGATGAGGATGCCATGGCTATCGTGGCTACCCGGATCCACGGCTTCAGTGCCCCGGCCAATTCCGACCGGATCTATTCTGTCCGCGTTTGCCCCTTCCACCCCATTTCCAGTTTTCCATCGGGATGGCAACCTTCACAGTTTTCTATTGGCTACAAGTACCGCAAGCAATAGAGACAAACACAAATCTTGCAACCGGATCTACTTGCAATCGGCACTCACCCGCATGGAGAGCACGTTTGTGAAGGCTGAGGATAATGTCCAAAAATGGAGTCGGAACGCTTTTCCAGATTTCCTTGTAGAATGAACTTGAAAGGGTGTAACTGGCTTTGGCATTCATCATCACAAGATAGCAGACCAGACACCCACAACGGCCGCTCGGTATGTGTGTGTGTGTGTGTGCACCATGTTTGTCGGTGATGGAAGTGTTCGATGTTGGGTGCTCATCGGTTCGCCATTTAGTCTGGTAGTTTCCTCGTAAAGTCAATCTTAGCTGGATCAAGACTGTCTTGGGTGCCTGTATGAGGATTGGGTTGCCTGTGATGGTGCAGGATTTGGGAAGGAATCTGTCAGAGATTCTAGCGCGCTGGTTTCAGATTTCCAAACCTGTGAGAGGCGTAGACTTACCCCTCAATCTTCGAGGCTTTCACGGTGTTTGATCAGTTTGATCCTTGGGGCCTAGAGTGGAGCAACCTTTTTGGATCCATCCTCCTTCCCCGACGGGAGGGGTCGACCGTGTGCGCTCACTTGGACGTTTGGGGTGTCTCTCGCATGTTAGGTGGCCGAGAGATCTCCAAGCTCTTCACTTCGCTCCAGACGTGCGCCGGGATGGGCGTGGGGCATGTCTGGACATGGGGCAGGCGGCACGGGTAATGTGACCTCCCGCCTCATCTCCTCTTTGCCAATTCACCTGAGGGCGTCCGCTGCTACTGGCTTTCTGGACACATCATGGCTTGTGAAGCAGATTGAAGGCAGTTTTGGTGCAAGGCAAGTAGCGCAACTGAGGTTGACAAGAAGGTTGCTGAGGAGAAGTCGTTGCTTGTTGTCTCCATGTGTATCTCCATTTGCCGAGACTCGGCATTTGGTCACCTTAGAGACAACGTTGAAGGTCATTGGCTCTTGAACTTGGATGTTGATTTCATAGAACAATGTTTCCACTATCTCCGCACCAGGCTAGATGCTTCTGGTGCTCTAGCGTTGCGTCTTCTGACCTTAGATTACCGGCCGTCCAAACGCATAAAGTTGACCTCGCTTGGCTTTGTTTGTTTGAGACCTCTTGACCTCAGCAAACTTCAGCTTTCAAAACTTCAATCGTGGCATTTTTCAGGTGTTTGAGGCACTTGGCCGATACACAAATATTGCAAGCTCATCTTGAGGTTAATTGACCAAAGCTGTCCGCAACATCTTCTCTCCCCTTTTTTGATCAGCTGCCTGTCTTTTTTTTGGCGTGACGCGGACTCAATGGTTGGCCTGGTGCAGCTGAAGGGCAAATCACATAGAATTGATCTAGTGCTGCGAATTTTCGTCTTATCTCCGTCCCTTCCTTTTCACAGCCTTGGTTTGGCTCCGCGCAGGCACGTGCTCTACAGCGACAGTGCGCACGGGAGACCTGTGTGCACAAAGTCTATGCTGTTAGAGGCGGGGTTCGAGCTGCATTTGGTCATGTTTCGGGCTGAGCTCACGTTTGTTGTATTTCCCATTGTGCTTTTTCTTCTGACTCCTTGACTTTGTGAGTGCTCAAGTCTTTCTCCATGTTTGACGCTGATGGCATGGCATCTGATGGCTCATGGCAAGCGACCACTTGTATCCAGGTGGTCGACCAGAAGGTGGCGGAGCATGGCAGGAGCAACGAGTTCCAGGCTGACGGTTCTTGCTGACGAGAATGAGAAAGAGCAGCCAGCGGGAAACGGACAAGACAGCAAGTGTCCTTTTTGGGTCAATGCTTTGGGAAGGGCATCGTTTTGGGATCCCCTAATGCACGGGCTCAATTCATGATTCGTCTTCTTTCCTGGCCAGATGATCCGATGCCAAAGCTTGGGACGATGGGGATGATCCCTGCACAATTCGGATTGACTCTACGCTGATTCACTCCTTGGCTTGGCAGTTCTACTCAGTTCTTGCGCTCTTCGTGTTTACATTCTTTCCTTGAGCAGACCCCGGCACGGCCGCTGAAAGAGCAAGCACCTCATGTTTCCCAGGATCACAGCCCTTATTAGGACGCTTTCTTACTTCTCACACCTAGCACAAATTTGCAAGACAAACACCCCACACAGCGCGAAGAACAACATTTGTAGAACGTGAGGATGGTTGTGCGCATGTCTTTTTGTGTGTGCGCGTTTCTGCGCGTGGCCGCATATCTTGGCTAATGCATTGCAACTACGGCAGGCTGAATTTATGCTCGAGAGGTCAAGCACTGCATCACAACCAGTTTACTATGGCTGGGAGTATACAGGCACGTATCCCCACAGACAAAATGCTGCATGCTTGTTTAAGCGGGGATGCAGATGGCAAGTGACACAGATTCCTCTTGCGCCAGTTGGCAAAACATCTTGTTGTTTTTCAGACATGTTGAGGCAATTCTAGCGGATAGAAAGAAGAAGCATGCGGCGACAGTGCGTCATCGGTGCCAATGTGGACAAGGAAGGCCGTTTGTGCGGCGACGTGAAGGTCGTGCAGCCTGCCGTGTTCGGCGGGTCAACATCTGCTACAGCTTCAGTGAGTGGGGGGGCAGGTTTGGCTCGAGAGTTTTCCCTGCGCTTGGCTTCACCCTGGGGCAGCTGCGACAGTGACTTCGAGGTCTTGCGCAAGACCCAGGAGGAGTCTGCGTGCGGCTACGCGAGTCTTTGCACGCAAGCGTTGCTGGAGCTCGGTGGCTTTCACGCGTCGGGCTGCGCCTGGCGGCTGTATGGTGACTGGTCGTTGCGTGACCTGGACCCCAAGGGTGGCCCGACTCGGTACCCGTCCATGCAGCTGCAGTCAGAGCGCCTTCGGTCACTGAAGACCAGCGTGAAGCTTCGCACGAGCTGGTACACCCCGCGGAGCCAGGTCCGACTCTCTGCGGAAGTAGCCGGCCCGCCTGGTGACGTGACCTTTGTGCGGACCGAAGCTCAAGCAGAGTTGTCGATGCCTTTGGGAAGGATTTGGACTTTGCCTTGGCAGGGCCACGCATCGGCTGCTTGCGGCCTGCTGTTTCCCGCTGGGCGAAGTTGCCCGCAGGACCGCTTCCACCTGGGCGGGGCTTCCGGCCTCGCGGCACTCAAAGGCTTTGCAGAGCACGGCGCGGAGCCGCGGGCTCCTTGTGCAAGAAGGAAGGACGAGGACACGGCTGAGGATGCCCAAGGTGGTGAGGCAATGGCATCGCTCTTTGCCAGTGCCTCCGCGCCTTGCCGCCTTCTCCCGGTGGACGGGGCTCGTCTTCTTTGCTTCCTGGGGTGCGGCGTGCTGCGCTCGAATCGAGCTGAGCGCCTCCGGGCTTCGGCAGGGCTTGGAGTTGCGATTCCTCTTGGCCCGGGGAGCTTGGAACTGACTTTTGCTCAGCCGTTGCGCTACTCTTCGCATGATGTTCTGCAGAAATGGCAGCTCGGCCTCAGGCTACAACTCATGGAATGAGACATATCGATCAACGAATCTTCCTAACAAGCAGAGAGGATTGTCCGATTGCCGGTGCGCGAAAGAAAGAGGCATTGTTAAAAGAGCTTCATCACTAGCTGCGGCTGAACATATTTTCTTTGCATCGCCCCGTCCGAATCTGTGCCCAGACCACGGGGTACGAGTACCAGCACCAAGAGCCTCACCGTGTCGAGCGCATGCCGCACGAGGCCCGCCGTTTTTTGCAGGATGCTTGGGGGAGATGTTCCACGGCCCGAATCTGAACTCTGGGAGGCTGAGGTGCAGGACTCTTGTTTTGGGGGGACCGGAGGTTTGCTGATATCATTTTGATCGCCCGTTCGGTGGAGAGGGCAGGCTTCCTTTTAGCCTCTCCAGGCCAGTTCACTGAAACTGGCAGTATGCTGACATTAGTTTATCCAGGCTTGGGAGGGCCTGATATTCAGCTTTACTCAGTACTACATCCCCACAAAAACAAGCAAACTTGATCCGACGAGAAGCCACCATCCAACCGATGTCCCAGCTTCCCACAGCTGAGAGCATCGGGCCCATCGCGCAATGTACTCGGGTAAGCGAATTGACCTTTGTCCTGGATTCCAAGGTTTGATCCGGTTCGGGTCATGAGCCCATGGTGAATCTTTCACGTCTCAGTCTTGATAAGTCAGAATGTGTTCAAGCACCTATCCAACAGGAATTTTGAGCGCTGCAGCGCAAATTGAAACATTTTGCCGCATGGGGCTGCGAATGCCCATCGGATTCAGACTTTCTCACTGCCTCAAACATGTGGTCCGAGAGGGCCCTCGGCTCCGCCCCTAAGGATCAAACTCGGTTTGCAGCCAGTTCATAGAACTATGACTATATGTCTATATATATATATATATGTATGTATGTAATGTAAGGTAATGTAAGGTAATGTAATGTAATGGAATGTGATGTGATGTAATGTGATGTAATGTGATGTGATGTGATGTGATGTAATATAATGTGATGTGATGTAATGTATGTATAATATGTATATATGATAATATGTATATATATATATACATACACATGTATACATACTAAGTATGGTTTGGTAAACTACATACATACACACACAAACATGTATATTAAATGTTGATATCCATGTTGATTCATTTGCCTTACCGGCCAGGTGCAGCATCAGATGAATGGCACAGTTTTGCCCAAAGGCGCACCCTAGAGGCAGGAGGATTTGATCCGCTTCGGTGTTGAAGCTGGGCAGGAAAAATGACGCACGATACAAGGAGAGCTTTCCAACAAAGGCCCACGCTGGGCCATGCCAATGACTTATATACTGCTGCATGCCTTATATTATTTTTGTTGGAATGTTTGTGGATGGTGCTTCGAGGGCACTATCACTCAGCCAAAAAACAGTAGCATTCCTTCTGACGGTTGGATTTGCTGGTGACTCGCCTCAAGGCAGACACTCGTTCTCTCGAGCTGTGTTGAATTCGAAGATGCGCTGTTTGCGTGCCCAGGTGATCGGATCGAGAATGATTTTCCGGGTTGGTTGAACGCGTGAATCAGCCGCCTCTTCAAGCACCAATCATGATACCAGTGTTTGTACAGAACGTTTGAAGTGGCTGATTCCGTCCTGCAACGGCATGTAGGCTACTGTGAGCGCTCAGCCGAGGATGGGCATGCTCCAATGAATTTGGTGGGTGACCCCAACATGTGTTCACCTTTTTTGGTAGTTTAACTTTCATTTGGCTTTGGCTTGGAGAGGTACAGAAGGAAGCGCATACGAGCTCATATTTCTACCTGTCACATGACAACCGCGATCCCTTCCGTGTAGCCGAAAAGGGGACATGCCTTTGGAAGGGGTAGAGAGAGGGTGTATGGGATTGGTCTCGGTGCTCGGCCTCTGAGATGTTTGAGGCTGACAGTATGAACGTTTGAGAACGGCACGACCGATGAGTCTAAAGCAGTTGAAGGGGACGCATTGGGGCCATTGTAGCCACCCAGACCAATGTTTTGGTGCTTTGCTTTGGGGACAAACTCGCTTGCCAGTGCTTCGTGCAGACTCGATTTCTTTAAGCTCCGCCCCACGCCTCGCGCTCCGCGGCTGCTCCAGAAGCTGCTCGTTTCACTGGGGTGAAAGGGATCCCATGCGCCGCGCCGCCGCTCTGCGCGCTCTGCGGCTGCCAAGTGGCGATCCGACGATTTTTGTTTGGTTGGACTTGTGATCAACCCAAAAGGTGCTTGAGCTCTCTGTTACCTGGTGGCATGCTTGATGTAGGGCCCTTGCGGAGGATTGGCCCCTTACAGTCGGCCCCACCCCACCATGGCATGCCAGGACCCACGTCTTCATTTCGGAAGGGGCTGGGCAAATGCTGTTCTTAGCCGGCACTGTTAGTCGCTGTGCGCCGGAAGTGTGGCAACCTTTTCAAGTGAAATGGCCTGCAGAACAGGGCAGCCTTGGCGAGATCGGCTTTCTCGTTTGGCATCCCTTCGCCACTTGGAGAGTGCTGGCAGCCGGCTGCAGATCCAAAAATAGGCCCTGTGGCTCGCTTTGGAGAAGGAATTGTGGCAACTTGCAGTTGGCATTTCCCAGCTTGATGAAGGTTTGTTATCAGATGCCAACATGGCTCTCTTGCGGCTTGGATTTACTCCGAAAGGTGAAAAGTCCGCGGTTGCCATCATTTCTTCCGAAAGCTGGTCCCCCCTCTCGGGGGGCTGCTAACGAGTGGCGGCTCCATCGTCAAACGAGCGTGAAGCCTGGGGGTGGGCGCGGACACCCCATGATGATGGACCAGTCCGGTGCAAGCCGAACGAAGGCCAACTTGGAAGGCCATGACGGCATGACGTGTATGACTCTTGCCAGAACGCGACCCACACGGCTTTTGGGTGCTCCCAAATGGGCCCAACAATTAAACCATAGGAAACCCAATGACTTGTGGCCTCACAGCAAGAGCGTTGCCAAATTGCGCTTGAATTTCTCTTCATCACGTCCGAAATCAATAAAGCAAGTCATTAAAAACAAAGAAAATTAAGCATAAACAATACATTTGTGAGAATGCTGGAGTCAATTGAGCCTGCTTTCTTGCAAACACATGCTGCACATGCTTGCCACCATGGTGGCTACGTGTTTTGAAGACCGAACTTGGAGTTGACGGCTCTGCCTCCCCCCGAAACAAGCGAGGCGTGCACCCCTGGAACGCCAAGCTGCCGGACCACTGTTGCTGGTTGCGCCACCACTTCCTCGAAACTTTGAAACTTGGCTGGAGGGATCTCGTGCCAAGGGTGCGACGGCTTTCCCCAGATGGCGGACGGAATCCTTTCTGTGGAGCTCACTGGGGAATGGCCTCAGTTTGGAAACAGCACGTAGTTACGCTGGGATATGTGCAAACCCCAATTGCTGGATGCGCGACCAATGACTGATGCGTATACCTGTATATATATATATATATATACATACACCCAATGTAGCCCTTTTGGCTTAAGCTGAAGTCTTTTTTCACACCATGGCGCGTGACTACTATGCCTTGCTAGGCATCTCCCGGTCTGCAACCACCCGAGAAATCCTCACGGGATACCAATGGGCTGCTGCCAAATGGCACCCTCAGAAGAATCCGGGGGCGAAGGTGGAAGCGCAATCGCGCTTTCATGACATCGCTGAAGCCTTCGATGTCCTCATAGATCCTTTGCGCCGGCAGCGGTATGATGCCTATGGAGAAGTGGGCTTGAAGAACCCGCCACTCGGGCTTGACTTCGATCCTTACCAGTACGTGGGCGATCCTTTCGAGCTGTTCAACAAGTTCTTTTCGTCGGCCGACCCGCTGAGCGTGGCGTACGAGCCCGAGCTCGAAAGCCTCCCGGTGATCCCATCCGCAAAGGAGACGGCCATCGAGCTGGAGATCGAATGCTCTCTGGGCGAGCTCAAAGAGGGCAGCAGCCGCTGCGTGGTGGTGGAGAGGACCCGACTGGGCCCCGGCTTTGTGCCCTACAAGGAGAAGAAGCCGGTGCCCCTGCCCATCAGACCTGGATGGCAGGACGGAATGAGGATCATCTTCAAGGGAGAAGGCAATCACAGCGACAAGAACAATACGCCAGGTGACCTGGCGGTTCTCATCAAACAGAAGGACGGCAGAGTGAGTTTCTAGGATTTCGTGAACTTGCTGAAATGAATGCCGAATTCATGTTTCACACTCCTGCTGAGCACTATGACGCCTCCCATTGTGGAATCTCGTCCAAATGAATCGTAAAAAACACGGACACCCAGTGGTGTGTGTATATGTATATGTAGAGTGATAAGTGGGATCAAGCGAGCAGGCTCGTCCATGCAGGCCAAACAGTTGTTGCTGCATTTGATGTTGCGCTTCTGGCTTCAGACTTTAGAGTGGAGTGCAACCTTGAACTCCATCGAAAGGGCAATCATCACCTCCCATCGCATCGCCAAAGGATTGCCATTCGCGGCTGCCCCAGGCTAATTCAGCTATTTGCAGTTCCAGGTTTGACGCATTCCAAAGCAACCACTTGAAAAAGCCGAGTCTCCCTCCCTGGAAAAGGTGCGTGGGCACGACAAGAGCATGTCGCGAGTGGTCTATTGGAGCAACCCAGTCTGACAGCCACAGCCGCTTCGTTCCCCAGCAATGATCACTTTCAGGCCTCGAACTGCGCATGCTTCAAAGGGTTGACAAACTGGCAGCGAAAGCTCGAAAGGTTTGGTATCCTGGGATGTTCCTCTTGGGAAAGTTGTGATGGGTAGGAATCATAAGGTCATACTGTACACAGAAACTTTGCGCTTGAGCCGATGTTGGCGCTGTGGCAGCCGTGGCGGCCAGGTCTGCTTCACACGCAACTTGCTATGCAACAACCCGAACATCCACAGCAAGCTTCCCCCAAGTCAGAAAGAAGCGAGAAGGAGGTCGTTTGTTCAGATTTGCATTGTTTGTTCGTTGTATGATAGGGAGTGCCACCAATCCTTGAAGGGCTCAATATCCAGGAGGCCTATCAAAGGATCATGCACTCGTGTTTTGACCGGAGCGCATAGGGCTGCGAGACGCCAACATGCTTTCAACATCAGCGAGACTAGTTGCATGTCCCGAAGAACGACTTCCAGCTTTCATGGCAAGAAGCTGGAGGTGCGCTGCTTTGTTTGTGGATGAGCGAGCTAGGGATGCACTTGTCCGGACCGTCGATGTCTCATTCCAGGGAAGCTAAGCTCGTTGAGTTTCTCAGAACGCTTTGCATTCTGGTTTTCGCAGGACTAGCGGCATCCTTCCTGGAGTTTGGCTGACCTGCTTTTGTTATTGGAATCAATTTCCTTGATATGTTGGATGCTGATCTTCTTTATGAAGTGATCGCAGCGGGCATTGGATTGCCGCCAAGAGCGATCCAAACCAATTCCTTCCATCCTCAAACGGAACATGAATGTAAAACCATGACATTTACTGGTCTTTTTCTTTTCCACAATTGCATCGCCCAGGCGTTTGGTGCCAAGGGTGCGCAGATCTCCGGATGCGCCTCGCCGACGGGCAACTGCTTGGGCTGGCCAACTGGCGCCAGTGCTGTCGGCTGCGTGGGCCACTCGGCGAGTTGAAAGAACCGACGGCTAACTTTGGGATTGATTCGGTGCTTCGACGCTTTGTCTTGCTTGCCTAATGAATATAGCACGTGCTGGTCTTGCGCAATCATATTTTTTGCACGCCTTGTAGAAGGAAAAAGGCAACACCTTCTGCATGCTGGGACGCAGCAAGCCTTGCGTGTCCCTTGACCACATAAAACTTGCAGCAGACGCTGGCAAATTGCAGACCAAGGCGGCCCAAAAGCTAGACAAACCAAGACAGCATCTTCCTGTGGAGTCTGACATGAAGCATTGCCACATTTCGGCATCGAACACCTTGCATGTTTTGGCGGCGGAGCACATCTTTTGCAGTGGGCTGAACATTGTTCGAAGGGCCTTGAGAAATGTGTGTGTGTGTGTGTGGGTGCGTGTGTGTGTGTGTGTGTGTGTGTGTGTGTGTGTGTGTGTGTGTGTGTGTGTGTGTGTGTGTGTGTGTGTGTGTGCGTGTGTGTGTGTGTGTGTGTGTGTGTGTGTGTGTGTGTGTGTGTGTGTGTGTGTGTGTGTGTGTGTGTGTGTGTGTGTGTGTGTGTGTGTGTGTGTGTGTGCGTGCGTGCGTGCGTGCGTGCGTGCGTGCGTGCGTGTGCGGGTGCTTGCCTGACTGCGTGCCTGCCTGGTTGCGCGTTTGCATGCTGCGCCGTCGTTCTTGCCAGGATGGCCCCCGAATAGCAGAATGGCAGGCGTACTTGGCATGACAAAAGCAGCATCATTTAGGAGATGGCTATGAGGCCAAAGCAGCTTGAAGCCCACGCTTGCAAGCCTATGTGGCCCTTTCTGGGGTTGGCATTCAATATCACCCAAATGGCTTTAAATATGAAATGAGTGAGTTTTGCTTTCGGGGTGGGGGGCGATCTCAGTGTCGGTCCCACTTCGATCCAAGGTACGCTGCCGAGGGCGTGCTGGGAAGGCCAGCGTGAAGGTTCAGGACTCACTTGACCTTTTGCCTTGACCCAGAGTGACCTTTTGGTCTCTTGTCGTCTAACAGTTATATAATGATCTAGGCTTGAGTGCGGCGGTTTGTCAGGTGATTCTTTAAGTGAGGGTGCAAGTTCGGATACTCCCAGCGGAAACCACCAGCGTGTTGTTTTCAGGGATCTGGATGCCAACCCAAAACACAGGGATGACAGAAAGATCTCCATGGCCGGCCAGCCAGGACGCGCACTTTTGGACATTACGCGGTCCCATTCAATCCATCCATGACGCACACATCATTGTATTTACAGTATGTGTGGTACCCCCGAGAAGACACAACAAAAGCAACTCTACACGAATTTATTGGTGTGTGCAGTCACTTTTTCTGTACTTGCAGGATGATTCAATATTGTCGGAGCACTAGTTTGACATGTTTGAGTCCAGCACCGCTTCAGGCCGACCTCTTCAAAGCGCTTTTAACAATCTAAGATTCAATATTTGCGGGACTCTCGGCCTTAAGGTTTGAATCCAGGCAGCAGGCAAAATGCCGAAAAAGCTTGTAGATCCATTCAAGATTCAAGACTCCCCGCCGAGTCTTGAATTCACGGCGCAAAGTGTTCTTGTTTACCCGACCAACTCAACTCAGTCCTGGCTGCTCAACAAGGGCCTTCTGAGATTCTACAATTCATCTAATCTTATCCCATTCGGTTTGCCCTTCATTTCTTTGTACGGAACCAGCTTTTCGTCAAAACCACAAGAGTCACATTTCCAGGCTACTTGATTTAATTAGTTGACCTTGAAACCCAGTTGGATCTGGGAAGAGACTGGTCTGTGTGCGCACCCCACCTGCGAGGCAACGCATGCACTGGACCGGGCAGAGGGGGAGGCGCCGGAGGATCTGCGTGAGAAGCTTGGAGCCAACGAGTTGGGCGGGGGCCGATTTGGTTTGAGAAGCTGTGATGTCTTGACAACTGTCCTGGCCCAAGCGCCTCAAGTTGGCGGGAGCTCCAAAGGCTTCCCTCTCAGCCTCTGACGCCAGAGCCAAGGGTCGGCCTTGCTTGCATCACCAGCATTTGCGGGGGGGTAGCAACTGGCACTCTACAGGCAAAGCCTATGCGTCGCTCTGGGTAGTACGTTTCTTCCGATTTCTCCAGGTTGTCGTCTGCATTCTGCCGATGGCTGCTTCGGGGACGTGCTAAGCCATCCTTTGCCACCCAAAGCTGAGGCTGTATAGGCGCACTTGCCCTGCAGTCAGTTCTTCTCTTCTCGACCGTTTGCAGCTCAACGAGTCTGTTTCACAAAAGGTAGCTCCATTGTCTCACGTTGCTTAAAAACAGTCAAGCACACGAAGGTGTAAGCTGCGTTAGGGCGTTCAAGATTGCGCAAATGTTTGTGCAGATGCGCAGCTGCATAAGCTGGACGCATGCAACTCGTGAGTAATCCACGTAGAACGGAAACGTGGTTGGTCACGGGCGTCCACGGGGCGTGCAAACACGAGTGATGGCAACGTGTGTCAAGCTTTCCTTTTGCCTAGCAGCAGGCGCAGCTTAGGCCAGCGCTCAGCTAAAGTATGGAAGACCGACACGCAAACGGCAGCAGAGTTACCAAGGCAGCAGTTACTGGTAGGCCAAGATTGCGAGGCAGGGCAGCTGGCTCTACCTGAGCCGGCCCAATGCGCGTTTAGTCGAAAGCACCGTGGACGACTCGCGTGTCATCTCTGGCAATTTGTCAGGGCTGAGATCCCAAGGATCCGATGTGAGCGCGCTTGGTGCTTCGGGTTCGACCAGGCGCCCGATTCCCATGCTCACTGAGCCTGTCGTCTTGGGAAGCAAAAGCAACCTGCAAAAGCAACCTGAGCGTGTTCGCAGCGTGTTTGGCACTTTCACTGCTGTGGATGCGGGCTTTTTCGTGGCTTTCAACAGCTCCACCAAGGTACTCCTTTTGGATAACCTTGGTCCCCTAGTGCTTGCGCAGGTGTTCCACTCAGGATTTGTGCAAGTTGGTCTTGTGTGTCTGCACCGCTGATGGTTTTGTTTGGCTTTGTTTCGTTCTGTTTTGCTTTCTTGCCCTGCCTTGCCTTGCCCTGCCTTGCCTGGCCTCACCTTGCCTGGCCTCACCTTGCCTTGCCTTGCTTTCGCTGCCTGCCCTGCCTTGCCTGCCTGCCTGCCTGCCTGCCTTGCCCTGCCTTGCCCTGCCTTGCCCTGCCTTGCCCTGCCTTGCCTGCCTGCCTGCCTGCCTGGCCTTGCCCTGCCTTGCCCTGCCTTGCCTGGCCTCACCTTGCCTGGCCTCACCTTGCCTTGCCTTGCCTTGCCTTGCTTTCGCTGCCTGCCCTGCCTTGCCTGCCTGCCTGCCTGCCTGCCTGCCTTGCCCTGCCTTGCCCTGCCTTGCCTGCCTGCCTGCCTGCCTGGCCTTGCCCTGCCCTGCCTTGCCCTGCCTTGCCCTGCCTTGCCTTGCCTTGCCTTGTTTGCTTGCTTTTGCTGCCTGCCCTGCCCTGCCCTGCCCTGCCCTGCCTTGCCCTGCCTTGCCTTGCCTTGCCTTGCCTTGCCTTGCCTTGCTTGCTTTCGCTGCCTGCCCTTCCTGCCTGCCTGCCTGCCTGCCTGCCTGCCTGCCTGCTTGCTTGCCTTTGCTTTGCGCTCTTTCGGATCACGGGAGCTCCGGCCGTGAAGCGCGCAAGGAAAGTGCTCGCCGGCCTGGGCAAGGCGTGCCAGTCCACCGAAGGAAAGAGTCT